GTAGTACAGATCCAACTTCTGAACATCCTGATTCATGTCAGGTTGTCATAGTCTAATGGGGGCAAGATGTTCCTTTCTGTTATCATTTTTCTATAACACATGAAACAAATTGCTTCTGCAGGCTCAGTCCCAACGCAAGCCTTAGCTTCCTAATAAAGAGTAGCATACATGGCATTTTCACAGGCTTCCACAAAATACTGCATCCAAAAGTGCCAATAAAGAAAGAAAGGTACAGGACTACACAACAACCAACAACAAAGCCCTGTGGATTCTGCAATTATGGAGTCACAGTTTTCTGCAGTTTGATAGATTTTGAACCAGCATTCATACTATCCCTGTAAAATCTGACCAGTGACTGCTAAGAATTATCATCTAGAATCTGGAAATATTCACAAGCTCAGAGAAACCAGAGTTTCTGCCCCTGTGGCCTTCACAGTACCTCCCACACAGATACATACATCACTTCTCAGTATGCAATTCTTTGCAAATGAAGTGTGCTGCAAATTCCCTGAGTGGGTCAGCTTTTGATGCTAAACTTACACCATTTAAATTCATTTGAAAAGCACCCTTCATAATTTGAGCAGCAGCTGTAGCTTATTCAGATATCCTTACTGCAGATACTGTATTTACTACTTATCACCATCATCGCCAGGGCTAGGGAAATAATACTGAATTCATGGAAATCTAACTGCAATAAAAATAAAATAAAAACTAGCATATGAAACTGGCAACACAAAGGTGTGAATTACGTGACCTACTACTGAATATGCCTATATTCACGTTCCAAAGATAGGTCTGCATTTTGACAATTTGAGTTCTCTTTGTGACTTGGCAATTCTTACATTGCCATACTAAAGAGAAAGAGGGGGCTATCGGGTAATGGCGGATTCCCTCCGAGCTCCAGAGGGAATCGGCTCTACTGAAGATGGGTCTTGCCGCCGCGGCGACGCGGGGACCCTCAGAAACCGCAGGCGCTGAAGCCTGCGGACTTGGTGACTCGGCGGGCACCTTAAGCGCCCCCCCGACCCACGAAGAGCCTTTTTAAAGGCTTCGGAGAGGGTACGGAGAGTGGCGTGGTGCTGTGAGTAGACCGCTACTTCAGTGGAGTGAAGCCGCGAGCCATGGCCGAAGAGCGCCTGACTTTTTTCCTTGAACATTTGGACTGAAAAAGAAATAACCCGTGAGTAGTACGGAATTTGGACTTAAAAATTTCCTTTTCTTTGAATTCGGTACGATCGGGGGAGTGCTAAAAAGGAAGTCCGCACCCCCCTTTTTGCAGACATTTAAAGCAAGAATCGGATAACTAAGGTGGAGAGACTATCTTTCTCTGTGTGAGATAAAAGTTATTAATTTCACGATTGACATTAGAAGTTTTGAGCTGGAGGATAAGAACTGAATTTCAGAAGTTGATGTGTAACCCCCCCCCCCAGATCCGGGAGCGATCCACGAGTGAGCCTGTTGAAGAGACATAAGGAGTTTGACAGCTGTCAAATGAGCTGTCAAACGAGCTGTTTAAGCTAGAAAAATCTGTTACTTATTTTGCGGACCAGAGGGGTTACATTTGATTTAAAGTTGTTGGAAACAATGAAGAAATAAGTAATAGTAATTGATTGTTGGAGAAGGACTACTAAGTAACAAAGAATCCCTCTAGGGGGGATTCTGCGGCATTACAATGGCTGCAGATGGAAAACTACAGGCCGAGTTGGGAAAAATGTTCTTTCTCGTGGGAAAACTTCAAGACCAAGCACAGCTATGGCTACAATGATTGTGACCTTGAATTCTAAAGTAAGCAATCCTGTTGCCTGTGTTAATGACTTGACAAAGGAAAACTCTGTAGCTGAACCAGAAGAGATATTTTCAGAGTCAGAGGAGAGGGAAGGAGGAGCGGAAATACTTCAGGAGGAAAGGGCCAACCAAAAGCCTACAAATGGGGAATACAAAGAAAACAAGACATGGATAATGAGAATCTGGTTGAAAATCAAGAATGAAGAAGAGAGAGATCCCCTTATGGGAGATTGAAAGAACTATGGATTACAAATTTGTGCAAGATGAAAGAGGGAGCCTTTGGGGCATTCGGATTATTTGGACTTAAAAGAAGCAAGAAATATGATTGGGGCTCCGCTTTTGAATATGGAGGGCTGGTTGGAAGAAAACACTGATCTTACTGGGATAGAGCTCCTTCGAGACTTGATGGCCAACATAAAAGATTACCAACAAAACCGACGAAGAGGGACTGATAGAGATTTGAAGGCCTCGGACGTGAGAAATCCAGGCTAAGAACTGATATTGTGGACACCTCTTTGGGGGATCGAAACCTGGAAAGAGGGGGGTGAGAGTTTTTCTTTTGAATCCAAAAGCAATATAAGTTTATGATTTTTATGTTTAGTTATTACGTTCAGTAATTAATAGGATAATTGGGAAATTGGTGGAAGGGAACTTAGGTCAACCTTTGGAAAGGATGTAATGATTATAATTGATCTGTATAAGTTAAATTTGGTTAATTAAGAAGAACTAAGTTTAAAAAAATGATATTAATATTGTAAAGATAAGAGATAAGAACTTGCTGAACTAACTATTGGAATTAGGATGCATGAAGGGGGCTGCGGGGAAGTCAGAAAATGTGGTTATGAAAGTAAGAATTTGAAATTGTACATGTTTGTCTGTGTCTTTGTGTGTTTGTTATGTCTATATAAAATGTGAAAACTCAATAAAAATTTAAAAAAAGAGAGAGAAAGAGGGGGCTACCCCATCCAAAATCAGGTGAGTGGAGCTGAGTTGATAGTTAGGTCATGCAACAGGGATCTAACCACATTAGAAGACTCTTGTTGAGTAGGCCTAGTGCTATCATGCACTTTTAAAATTCCTTCCATGAAGGTGGCTGTTGCCTTGATATGCAGAGGAAAGCACAGAAAAGTTCCTTATCCTGAAAACCTAAAGAACACTAGGGATACAATATAGAATCACTATCATATTTACACATAAGACAGGGAAGAGCAAGTGAATAATGTGCCCAAAGCCACACAAAGAAAAAGTGTGTATATGAGTCACCTGCCCATCAGTGCAACCTACTCATATTCTTTGTTGGACCTGATGCTTTTGGGCAGAAGAAGAAGGGCAGCAAAACCTTGCTGTGCATCTTTCTCAGAATTGATTGAACACCCTCTCTACCTCATGCGGTGTTCTGTCATCTCCCCAGCCTCCCAAAGTTCACCCCCTTTTCTCTCCCTCTCTTTCTTTTGAAAGTGTTGCTAATTTCTCAAGGACACCAGAATCAGAGTTACTTGCATGTAGAGAAAACTTGAACCTGTGTGGGAGACTAAACGGCTGCCTCAGAACAAGAGATCGGAGAGTTTCAGAGAGGAAGAAGAGTGGGTGAGTGAAGTAGACTAAGCACGGGAACAAGATCTGAATACATCTGAGGTGGGGAAGAATACAAATTTTAATTTACTCTGTTTCTCTTACAGGTTCTCAGCTACACAGTTGATGCAGCCCAAGTTGACTCTCTGAACTGATGGGAGTGAGGAGGGCACATTCTCAGATCAGCTTAGGTTAAATCACTGTTTTATAATAATGAACATCAGAACCAATAAGATGTGATAGATGGCTATTTCAGTGGGGGGTATCCCAGTTTTGGAATTCTCTCCTCCTAAAAGCCTTGCTCGGCAACCTGCTCAGATACCTTTTTGGCATCAGATGAATATATTTTGAATGATTTTACTTGGATTAGTTTTATGCTGCATTTACAGAAATGCTGTTGTTTGCAGATGACTTTAATATATTAGTTATTTAATTATGCTTTTACTAATTTTAGCATGAGCCACTCTAATATTTTAAGGGCAAAATATACATCTAAACAAGAAATATGCGAACCATTGAACAGTTAGAAAAATAATTTGTTTGTGCTGGATACACCATTATAGGGCAGAAACCTGCCCCATTAACTGGCATATGTGTGGTACTCTTCAGGCGTTTTGAACTGCCATGAAGGCTGTCATAAGGCTGACAGGAGCACCAGCTATCAACACCTTCCTACTAAGCGCCTACCTATTATGCAAAGGTACAGTGTTTTCACAGAAATCAGGGTAGAGTCTGGGTTACTGGTTGCATCAAATGCCTGAAAGTCACTTTAGAAGCATCCAGCCTCCAGATTATAGAGCAACATTAGCATCTGTGGGTACCTCTAGGGCCCCCTGAGTGTGCATTACTGGGAAGCACATAATTCTACGATGTACTTAGAATTATAGAATTGTAGAGCTGAAAGGAACCCAGCCCAACCCCCTGCGGTGTAGGAATATTCAGGCGGCCTATATGGTGATCGAACCCGTGACCTTGGCATTACCAGTACCATACTCTACCTAATTGAGTAGGCACCTAAATCACCTACAGATCAGTAATAGGCATTGCCTCAGCGACAAGAAGTAGAAGTCACTCTCCTCTTGTGTTAAAAAAAAGCCTCTGGGAACAATCATGCAACATGCAATTAGCTATATCCCCACGTAGGATGGCAACAAAGATGCCATTAGCTCATTACCATAACACTACTAATTGTATAAATTAATCATTCATAATAGGAGGCTAGGATGGATTAAGAGCTTGAAACAGAAGGCGGGCTGCTGGGGTGGTTCATTTCCCAATGGCCTGTTCTCAATCTCTAACAGAAAACACTTTGAGGGAATCTCCTTTCCTGCAGGAAGGCAGGGGAGCTTAACATTAAAAAAGAGCTCTTTCACTGTGTTGCACTGGCTTTCTTTCCACCTCAGCATAATTCCCCGTGCTGGGTCCCAATTTGAGGCAGGGGGGTGGGGGGGGGGCAGCACATTGCTTGCACAGCCAATGCCTTTAAAGCGTCACAAAGTAACCACAGCTCTTTAGAAACTGTGCAACAACAAAGCCCAATGGACAGCACTAAGAAAATTCTCACTGCAGCACAGAAAAGTGCTGCTATTGTTCCTGCCCAGGGGCCCAAGGAGATTTATTGATACGCAGGGAGGGAGGTCCAGATACGAGTCAGGAGAGGAATTAAGGTAGAAATTTGCTGGGCTGGGGTATTTATTTTCATGCTAGGGATAATACTGCTTGCAAATGAGGGTGCTCTTCTTTCTCTAAAGAGAAACTCCTTTTTCATAAGAGCAACAGATTTCTTCTTTCAAAAGCTCAAAAGTATTTCCCCTTCAAAGTGCACACAAAACACACGACTACCTTCAGAGTGCACATGTGTGGGTTTGCCCTCAGAGCTGGAGGGATCTCTCCAATCCCAACTTTCCAGGCTTCCAGCCTTACATTTGCTGGGCCTTTGCTTCCCTCTTGACTGAAAAGCCCAGGATTAAGGCAGCCTCTGCAATTTTCATCTAAGGCTGTCAAGTTTTTGTCCTGCTGTCATCGCCTCCTTTATGTAAGTACTCGAGACCTTGGTTTTATTTGCATCCAAAGCAGCCTAGAGGAGGTTGGCAACCTGAGGCCTGGGGGCGGATGCGGCTCAATCACCTTCTCAATCCGGTCTGTGGATGGTCTGGGAATCAGCGTGTTTTAACATGAGTAGAATGTGTGTTTTTATTTAAAATGCACCTCTGGGTTATTTGTGGGGTATAGGCATATAGTCTGGCCCACCACATGGTCTGAGGGATGGTGAACTGGCCCATGGCTGAAAAATGTTGCTGACCCCTGGCCTAGAGTCTCCTTATGCAGCCTAGAGCCCACATAAACAGGTTGAGTGAGCCTTCCCTGCCCCAGTTAGAAGAGGGTAGATAACCCACATGGGGTTATTTCAGTGGCGCTCTGTGCAATGCCAAAATTTGGTGCCCCCCACCTCTTGCACTCCATTCCTAATAACAGTTGTGGTATCCCTTTGGGCTCTGTGCTCAGTGCAACCAAACTGATTGTGCTCCCCTAAATCTGCTACTGGCTGCAGTTCCAAAACATCTGGGGACTCAAGGTTGAAGAACACTGCATTACAGTATTCTGAGTACAGGCAACAACCGTTTTGCATGCGTTCAAAGCATGTGCGGTTGTGCATGTGTGCATCGCCACAACCCAGAAGTGGCTGGAAAAGGGGGTGAGGCACGGGTCATAAAGGGGCAGGGCAGGCATACACATGCTCTGCCAGTGTGTGCAGGTGTCAGGAACACAACCCCCACTCAAAACATTCAATGCCTGTAAAAGAGTTTCAGAAGAACAAGTAATCTACTTTTATTATTGTAAAGAACACTTCTGATGACATGAGCCTGATGTTCTAAAATCATTAAATCATCAATGCATTATAGCCATATATGTATGTGCTACACTGTCCAATTGGTTTAATTATGGATTTAATCATAAAATTGTAGAGCTGGAAGGGACCCTAAGGATCATCTAGTCCAACTCCCTGCAATGCAGCTGTTCCATACGAGGATCGAACCTGCAAACTTGGCATTATCAGCACCATGCTCTAACCAACTGAGCAATCCAGGTGGTGTGACTGTATGACTCAGAGCATAACCTACTACAATGCAGATAGGGAAATCAGGCCTTTTGGTTGGGTCTGTTTGCCATGCAACTTATTATGAGGAACAGAGGATTCTGGAGTGCATTTTCAGTTCATGCTGCGTGCTGCTCACCATACCAGAATCTATGTGGGAGCACATATTCCTTGGTTGGGTGTTTGGGTAACATCACTGACTTTGGAGGATATGTCAGACTGCCTCCATAGCAACATGGATGCTTCAAGTTTCAGACCGAGATTCAAGAATTTACACACCAGCAGAGAAGCAATCCCAAGTATTTAATACACAATTATGCATATTCACCATTTTCATCCGGGTGCAGCATTCATGATTAGGAACAAACTTCTTAGTGGAAAAATAAAACGGGAACTTTACCTTGTTTGATAACTGAGAACTAGAAGGTTTTGTGACAAGAGATGGAAGTAGATATATGAAGAAAGCAAAGCAGACCGGGACATGGGAACTCACTCTGACACACAGACATTGTTTTTAGACCTATATGACAGCTTTGTAAATTAAAGCTTCTAAACTGGCATTTGCTATCATGTCTAAAGGTTTGTGGAAATGAGGTGTCTAATCAGGAAAAAAGATAAATGCACTGAGAAATGTAGAGATGAAACTCAGGGATAAAAACTGCCTCCAATAAGACAGGGGTATCAAGCATCCGCCTTTGATGCTTTCAGACAAAGCTTGAACAAATAACACTTTTGCCAAGGGAAGTAGTGGTTAGAGTCACACTTTCATGAGTTCAATCATGGTTTGGTGACACTTGATTTCTGGTGCACTGTACCTTCCTTTCCCTTATGGTCTCCCCCCACCCCTTCTCAAATTTTGATGACCAATTCACGGCTTCATACATAAACACTAGTTTCCACCACAATGTAACATGCAAATAAACCTAAAATAACTTTCAACGCTGCTGAATATCATGTGTGAATCTCTGCTGCCATAATTACTCTTCAACAAAATGGACACTAATGAGGCATGAAAAACTGGAACATACAGAAACCAGTACAGAAACATTTCAGTCTCCATGGAGACTCCATCCAGCTTAGAAATCACTAAATTTCACACTGTGTGTGTGCTTCTCAGATTGCAATTGGTGCGCTATAAAGTAAAAACATGTTTGTTCCTCAGAGTCTAAACACAGAGGAAAGGGTTGCCCTCTCAAAATATTGCCATTTTATTATAAATTACATTACATTAATAATAATACATTAAAGTTACGGATGGAAGAAGAATCTGTTTTACATGGATTTATACATGGAAATCAAGTTTTGCCTGGATTGAATTACCCCTTGTATGAATCACCCACTTATGAAAGAGCTGCTCACTTATTGTCATACAGGCACACATATATACACTATGTATATTAGAAGTATAATACATATGAAAAAAATCATGCCCTACATGGTTGTATATTTCTGCAGGATAATTTTGTAAGTATTAATACGTGTTTGTATAGAATTCATATGCATTGTTATATGCAGCTGTTTACTTTAGGGGTATAATAAAAAATCCAATTCTTGTGCAGATCAAAGAGAAAAATGATAATTACAGGGGGAATTGCTAAGGATAAGTTCAACATGGAAATTTTCAGAAAACCGCATCCCTGCAAAAATTCTAAGTATCAATTCTTCTGCAACCATTCTGGCTACGTTGTACCCATCCTCCAATGATCAGGATACTTTTCCTGTTATCTTTTGACTTCTTGTTATGTTTGATTGTTTGGACTGAAATTTACAAGGATCTTGTAATGATACGTTGTTTAATTGCCTGTTTTTATTATATTTGTTCTTGGTCTTGGTCTTAGTTGTAGTTTTATTTTTACAAAAAGCACTGCAAGCTGCTTTCAGTTTTCATTAGTGAAAGATGGAGCACAAGTGTTGGCGGCATGGAGAGAGAATAAATGCATAAAGGTTTGCGGCTAGTTTTTTTCAACATTACAATGATGGACTTTGGTCATATTGCAGCTGCTTCCTGACACACGTCTTTAATACACAAGCTGGGAAATACAAAAGCTAAACAAATGAGTTTCTTAGGTCCCATTGAATTTTCTATTTGCAGTAATGACCACTGAAACCAATGCTATTTACAAATACACAACTGTACAATTACTGGTGAGCACGCACACCCCCTTCTCCATAGCTCAAACACACAAAAAGCTATATTCCATTACCAAAATTGCACAATTGCTCTATTGTATGATGATACACAAGCTGTTGGGACTTTGTAAAGAAAAAAAAAATTCTTCTGAAGTAAAATAGGACTAATCCAGCCTAAGTAGTCTGAGAAATCTTTGGAGTCCTATATGTAAACTGTAACATAAATTGAATGTACAAACTGGGTTTGATAAGAGCCATTACAGCAATTTCTGGCAGAAGTCAATAAACTGCAACATGCATCTTACAGGGGGAAGGGGGCTTTGGGCATGCTCAGCAAATCACAGTTAATAATTCCTTAATCCTGTGCAACAACTATTAATCACTTAACAAGAGATTCAGCCGCGCCCCTGCCTTTGACCAAATATTAGGAATGCTCCACGTTACATAACTTTGTGAAATGTCTGTAATGCTGTATATTTCAAGTGGAAAGAGGCACACACCCTTTTTGTTTACCCTTATCTATCTGTACATACACATGCTGTGGAAATTCAGGATCATTCACTGATTCCTTTGGCATGAATACACAGTGTACCCATGGTATGACTCTAACACACTGAGAGGTACACAGGAGATACACACACCTATAAACTGTGTATGCCAGGGATATGCATGAAGTGTGGAGCAGTCTTTTGCCACAGCAAATTCAAAATCACTTCTAGTGTACAGAAATAGCCCAGACACACACGTGCACACACACACACACACACACTCAAAAACATCCTAGCAAGAACAATCACACACACCATCATAAAAGGATAAGAGAGACTATAATGTTGGGTATAAAACTAACACACCAAGAGAAATCCGCATTAAATATTTTCAGATGTGAACATATTTCCACTTATGTTAAGAGAGATGGTTAAAATGCACTCCTCGTTCTTTAAATTAGAGTAAACACCTGTTAACTAGTTGTTGTTTTTTCCATAATCCTTAGCACAGTGAAGTGGTTACCTAGTTGTGAACAAACTGTCTGACAATAATCAATAGCAACAAAAATTAAGCTAGTTCACTATAACAGAATTAAAAAGTAGCAAACGCCACCATCGCTAATAACAAATGCCAAAACCTAAAGTCCTCTTACCAGCTTACATATCCCCTTCTCCAGAGCAAAGAGAATAATTTTACACTGTTTCTGAAAGATACTCAGGCTAGGGCTTGGGGAGATCTCCAAAGGAAGGAAGACAAGCTGTGGATCTGGCACAGAGATGGTTGTTGGAAGCCGAGCACCCAGAGACACAATTCCATCTAAGTTCCTATCACACATCTTAGAGAAATTGTTTTACTTCTGCTTCTAAGGAAGTAGCCCTAAGGCAGGCAGGGGTCAGCAACCTTTTTCAGCCGTGGGCCGGTCCACTGTCCCTCAGAAGATGTGGTGGGCCGGACTATATTTTGAAAAAGAAAGAAAAAACAACGTATTCCTGTGCCCCACAAATAACCCACAGATGAATTTTAAATAAAAGGACACATTCTACTCATGTAAAAACACGCTGATTCCCGGACCGTCTGCAGGCTGGATTGAGAAGGCGATTGGGCCGCATCTGGCCCCGGGGCTTAGGTTGCCTACCCCTGCCCTAAGGAAATGTAATTTCCTCCCAGAGTCATTGCTGTAGGCCTGCCTCTCCTCCCTCTGCTCCAGAATCCTTTCTGCTTCTAGATTTAAATGGAAAGGGGAGGGCATGTCGAAGCTCACAGGGATGGAGTTAGGTAGGAGGATTAGCTCAGAAATAAGGCAAGCTATTTTCTGGGGAATAGCTTGGTTTATTTCTGAGAGGATGCAATGCAAGCAGCAGTGGTGGGGAAAGCAGGGGAAGAAGCTCACTGGTACTCATAGTTAAGAATGCCAGATTTTCCCACATAAAGAACTCCCTGCAGGTAGAAAGCTAACACATTGGGAAAAAGGTCTTGGATTACCTTTTCTCGGACATGCAGGCTTTCCATATATGGGGAAGCAAGTGATGGTTTTGTGTTAAGGAAACATTTGAACATGTCATCTCCCACATGGATTCTGAGTGGCAGCACGATTTCAGGAGGAATGCCCATGTGTTTCCTTAACACTTGAGTAAGCTTCAAGTAATCCTGAGAGAAGGTGACAAAGCATAAGGTAGGATCCTTTGACACCCGGATTACAGAAGCAGCTGGGGTCAGATTAGGTGCGAGAGCAGGCCAGACATACTTTTGCTTCAACTTGGCCCTGCCCACCTGACAAAGTGGTCCACTGACAGTGGGGGAACTGCTGGCCAGATCCAGTTCCCCACTCCCTGGGAAAGGATGGAAATATTAAGCCAATTCCTGTTTTCCCATTTCCCATCTAGGCAGCAAATATTTGGAACTGGGTGACAAAGCATTCAAACCTCCGCAACCTGTCATACTGGAGAGAGTTTGGATTAGGCTCTGCCTGGCTATGTTGTTGTTGTTGTTGCTGCTGCTGCTGCTGCTGTTGCTGCTGCTGCTGGAGAAGAAATTCTGGTGAAGAGGAAGGCACCCATCAAAATGGTGGGAGGAAACTACTGCCGATGGTATCCCTGCTGGCAGCAGCCAGTGGACAGACCTGGAACTGGGTGTTAGGGGGTTGGCATAGGTTCCACTGGATCCTTCTGTTATGATTTGGGCCCCTTGACTGTAGCAGCCTGGGAGTTGGTGTGGCAAAGAGACATTCCCCCCTCCTTGCAACCAGCCTTGAAGCAGGGCTGTGGGTGTGGACCCACCACTTCACTGAACCATCCCTCTGCTGGTCAGGGGTTTGGATTGTTCTCTGAATGGCAAATTCCAAAGTTCACCACCACTCCAGGGGCACATTTTGAACCAAACCTAACCTCCACCAGTGAGTTTGATTGGATGTCCTCACACCCCCACCATTGCAGTCTTCTGCTGAAATGAGGACCTAGCAGAGCACTTGAGCTCCACCTTCTGCCCAGGCCATCAAAAGTCTTGCTCAGTCTCCTTGCAGTTTGCGAATTGAGATTGGCTTTTGCAGACATGTTTTCAAACTTATCTATGCAGCAATACAGGTTTGAAACAGGCATTAAGAGGAGAAAGATGAAATGGAGCAACATAGGATGCTGGACTCTATGCCAGACACAAAGCTCCTTGCTTCTATAATGCAAATGTTGATGTGCCAAAAAGCACATGGTATTGACATCTAGTGGGCAGGGGGAGTGTCTGGGGAGACAGCAGCTAAGGCACAGGAGAATTAAACTCCCCTCACCCAAATATCCCTTTTTATATTAAAAATAGACCCCATGCACTGCTTTGTAGATGAATAGAGCAGGCACATGAACAACAAACCTAACTACACCATCACATATCATTTGACCTTATGTCTCATCTGGAGCTATTTCAATTGTACCAGGCAATACTCTGGCAGCTGACATTGTATGTAATAGCTAGACTGATTTAGGCTAGCCTTTTCTGTGCACCCATCACAATTCCCTCTGTTCCTCTTTTATCTAATCTCTCACCTGTTTCATAAGAACATTTCTCTATTGTGCTTCTCTAGTGGATGCCTTTGATGTGCTGCTGTCTTCAAGAACCACATGCCTTTTCTTACTTCTGCTTTTTTCAGAAAGATTAGATCAAAACCTTCCTAATTCCTTAGTCCTGACTGTGCATCTAGGTTTACTTCCCTGTCTGTCTGAAATGAATTCAGTGCATCAAGGTGTGCAGATATGAAACAGCCAAGTCTAGGACACAGCATCCTTTGCTTTGCCTCACAAGCCCTCCAATGCCCACTCCCCACATCTGAAACAAGAGACTGTCACAACTTTGGCCCTACTCGTCTCTCTGCCTGAGCATGGTTAGTTCCAGACATGCTCTGGAAATAATCCATACGACATGAATGTCTGTGCAGGGAGGCAGGTGGCAGAGAAACGTATTGACTGCTTCATTGTTTACAGAATGCAGGGATAGTGAAAGAAAGCATCTGCTGCCCTCTGGACCCTGTAGAAGCCAAGAAGATAAGACAGTTATGAACACCAGTTTCTCCCACTCACTTGTGTAAATCTAGAAAATAAATTTAACTGTATTGCTAAGCAATAATCTCTCTCTCTCTCTCTCTCTCTGTGTGTGTGTGTGTGTGTTAGAGACAGAGTCAGAGAGTCCATGTGTGTGTACACAAAGAACCATTGCTAGATACTGAAAAGTCTCAGAGCACAGGCCCATGACACAAATATGAAGGTGGGGGTGGGTGGAAATGCATGTACTAACGTATATGTATAGATGCAGATTTAGGTCTCTTGAGCAAATTAATTTGGGGTGGCTGTGGCTGGGGGTCACAGCACTTTGTGTCATGCCCAGCAACCCTGTAAGCAATTTTTTTAAGAAGGTGGTGAGAAAGAAAATCTGGGGCTCAGTGCAAAAGACCTGGAGTTTGGGGTCCCTAGACTGTGCCCCCAAACAACATGTGCATATGTGTGTGTGTTTGTGGGGAGGTGCAACAAGAAAGAGGCACTCATCCCTGCTGAGGTTTGGAGCAACCAGTGCTGTTTGGGATTGTGCCACCTAATTCTGCAAGTCTGTGTTCTGCTTCTAGGAGTAGCAAAGTAGCAAAGCTCAGCAAGAGGACTGTCATAATCCTTGTGTGGCTTGTGAGGGCAAGACACACCAAATGAGCATTCATGATATGTGACAAGTCCACCATC